TAGCTACTCTCTTGTTATTTCTGCTCTCACAATTGAAAAGTCGCGAAATGCAGGAAATCAGAAGTTCATTGTACGCCATTATCATGCGAGATGAGGGGGAGGGGAGGTGAATGCATGGCAAAACAGGGTTGGAGACAATTCACAACTTATATTTCTCGTGTATGAATCATTCAAGAGTATGTGCTCTAATCATGTCACGTGAATCACTGTTCCCGCATCACGAAAAGGGAAAAAAAAAAACTCCAAAAGAGAATGACATGCTCAATTGTGTATTGTCAGAAGCTGTTTTAGGGCTCTTATATACACAGGACATGCAAACACGAACACAGGAGAGTAGTCAAGACACTGCAAACACCGCTCTGAAAAATCTTGAAGCTGCGGAAGAGAAGGTGAAATGATGTATTTTATGGCCTTGTTCTCCGCTCAGGTTAAAATAAAACTAACGGCGGTGTGCCCCAATTATTGCACGGCAATGGTGGTTGTGTGAACCCTCTCGAGACTTCGGCAGTGACTCGAACGACATGAGCAAGAACGGGCGGCGGCGCACAGCTCTACTTTGAACACTCCCCCCTCCCCTTTCTTTGAGCACACGGCATTTAAATGCGATTGTGTGCGGGTATGTCGCAGCCTTCTGAGGTGGCCCCAGTTACTCCCAAGCGTGCCATGCTCAAATCAGCCAATGGCGTGATACTTGGACCTTTGACACAATGATTTTTTAGTATATAATATTTCATATTTGTTGAGAGAAGAGAAAGTGATATTCAGCTGACTTCGAGAATTTGGGTTAAATTCCAGGCCATGTGCTGTACCACAAGAATTGCATGGTGTCCCTTGTTTTTTTAAAGGACCAATGACACCATAATATAATTCTTGAGATATTCTCTTATTGTTCCATCTTCCTGCATCTAGTATCATTCCATCTTCATCAACTAGTATCATTGGCAAACATTGCTGTTGAACAGGGACTTTAAAGAAAAAAGCAGTTTTTTTTTATTAGTAAATTGCCATTTTAATATACTTTAAGCACCACTCTTATCGTGAAAAAAAAAAAATGTGCAAAAAAAATGCAAGTGGTGACTCCGCATCGAACTTCCCACACCACTGACTGTCACGTCATGGATTTTGACAGGGTCTTGCTTGGGCTTATGCAATCCAGGGTGCCTACCGACCTGAAAAACCTGGAAAAGAAAGGGAATTGGGACCCTTCTGGAAAAGTCATGGAAAAGTCGGGGAATTCCTGAAAAACCTGGCCAGGTTATGGAAACTGACAGCAGTTCGGTGTGACCGTCACAAAATTAAGCATTACCATTGATCAAAGCTTAAGCAGTCTCTCTCTCCCAGCTGCAACTATAGTGAGCTGCTAGAAGACGTGTGAATAATTACAAAAAAAAAGACAGTGTACAACTTTTGCTATCTAAATAAATGGTAAATGGGAAAGGATACACTGACCCATAAAACACAAAGTTTACTGATGTTTCAGCACCTTATATGGAAGGGAGCCTTGTTCACAGTAAAAGTCATAAGAAAGGCACAGCGTACCTAAGTTTGCCTAAATATGTGACATAAGCAGCGAGAGTACATTGTCGGAAGCGTCCCATCACTCCTGTTCAACGTATGTACAGTCGTCTGTATCTGAATTCCAGGTGCAGACATGATGCAAACTTCTTTTGAATGTGGAGCATTTCATAGTCGTACCTACTTGCAAATTCGACGTTGGCAGTGAGGTCTACACCCCTACTGCGCATGCTCACGTCTCGTGCCAACTGTTGCTCCCCCCACTGTCTCGTTTTGCAAGGCCGACGCAGGCAGCATCTGCTAGTAAAAGCCAAGTGCTCGCGCTGCACAACCGTTCACTGACCACCCCGTATATTTAGGCTTTGGATCGGGCGTTCGGAATCCAGTAAAGGGCATCTCTGCTTGGCTTTCGCTTGACTTGATGCTTTGCTTGACTCGAGTAGATGTGATGGAAGCAACAGTACCTTGAACCAGTAGTGGGGCACAACCCAACAGTGTGCCACCGCTTGTTCAAAGCAATGCTTCCCCTTCATTTAATACGAATAATAAAGTCGAAATAACAATTAGACATTCTCAAACTTTACCCAATTATGCAACATTTATGTAATAATATTAATAATAATAACATTATTATTATTATTATTATTATTATTATGATTATTATTATTATTATTATTATTATTATGATTACTATACTATTATTATTATTATTATTATTATTATTATTATTATTATTATTATTATTATTATTATTATTATTATTATTATTATTAAAAGACATGAATAACCCGGCAAACTTCTGCTGATGTCAGTTCAAGCCTAGAAAAAGCAGACGGCATTCAAGCCAAGCCGAAATCATGGCATAGACAAACATGCATAAATTTACAGCCGTGGGTAATATTGTGGTTCAAAAGTCAGATATGCCATGCTTTATGTTGAAGCAATAGACATCGAAATAGTGGATGTACCAACATGGAAGCTAAGGAATGCTTTAGCCAATGTGAAGGACAAGTTGCCCAGCAGAAATTTCTTTGGTCTTGTTTATTCCATAGGCTGAATAATAATAATAATAATAATAATAATAATAATAATAATAATAATAATAATAATAATAATAATAATAATAATAATAATTATCATTATCATTATCATTATTATCATTATCATTATTATTATTATTATTATTATTATTATTATTATTATTATTATTATTATTATTATTATTATTATTATTATTATTATTATTATTATTATTATTATTATTATTTAGGTGGTGCAACAGCAAACGTCCTCAGCTACACACTTATTGCTGGTAGCTCGTGTTTTGAGGGTAGCACTTGGGTAACTTCAGCTAAGATTTTCATTTGTTTCATGAGATTGTGTAAATAAATCTGCAATTATTTTTCAGCACCACGTTCACAGCAGAGTACGTGAATTAGAATAAGGTGCCGACATTCGCGATTCGTTTGTGGAATAAAGGAAGTTATTGCACCTTGACTGATTCTTTCTTGCCACCACATATTTAAACATTGGCACTTAAAACACTATCCCCAGCTTTTATTGCAGCCATCCAAGGACTTCGTTGCACTTCAAGTATTAGAGCTCAGAGACATAAACTACAAACATGCATGTGCTCGTTGTAAAAAAAAAAAAAAAAGAATGAAAGAAAATTTTGCAGTATGTCTTTGTTCTTGCAACATTCTCTTTACTCATTGTCAAGGCAAGGTACACAGAATATGCGAGTAGTAGTTATTCTTTTTTTTTGCTGAAAAGTATATTTTAGAGGTGCACAAATCAGGCAGCAACGCAAATCACTAGTAAATACAGCAATCCAGGTTGAATCAGACTTAATCCATTCCACATCCTATATAGTTTAGTCAGTAAATACAGCAGTTCAGGTCAATCTAATTCAATCCAATCCACATTCTAAGCGACATGGGCTACAGTCATTATAGCCCCACCGCGATGCTCTAGTGGCTAAGGTACCAGGCTGCTGACCCACAGGTCGCGGGTTCGAATTCCTGCTGCGGCGGGTGCATTTTCAATGGAGGCAGAAATGTTGTAGGCCCGTGTGCTCATATTTTGGTGCACGGTAAAGAACCCCAGGTTCTTGAAATTTCCAGAGCCCTCCACTACGGCGTCTCTCATAATCATATGGTGGTTTTGGGACTTAAACATCACATATCAATCAATCAATTACAGCCATTATAGTAAAAGCCGTTATAGTAAAATAGATCATGCTCCAGTGGCAGGACCGGCCAGGCTCCCCGTTTCCTCATTTTACATGGATGCTGGGAGATGGCACCACTTCTACGTTTCCTAGCAGCTTTGACTGCGATGCCGAACTATCGCGGCCTTCTTCAAACTTTCATCTGCAGTTACTTTTAACTTGTGTGTTTACTTCCTGGTTCTTCCAAACATCAAACAGCCGACTTGCTTACTGCCTAGCTCGCGAGTTTTATTTCGGCCAGATAAACATGTTTTTTCACATTTCGGCCAGATAAACAGATAAACATGTTTTTTCACATTTACTGCATGCGCTGCGAACATTCGGAGTGCGCCTGATAAATATGTTTTCTTGTATAGAGTGCCTGTTTTTTTTTTTTCGAAGGTTTGTTTAGAGTGCACAGAGTTTTTCATGTAGACGTGCCGGTCATGGAATTTGCTTTTAATCATCATGGAAAACCTGGAAAAGTAATGGAATTTAGAAATATCAAATTGGTAGACACCCTGGTAATCATTTATTGGAATATTGTTTGCTTTGTGTTCTAAGGGACACAAAGTCTAACATAGCAAGTGTCAGAAAACTTAATTTGAACTGATGTAACCAGATTGTGTAAAAAGGTTATCAAATTTGGGATGTCCCACTTATTGTACCCTGCTAAACTTTTGGCGTGAAATTCAAACGTTACAATTTCACCTACATTTCCTCTTTTAATAACTAACCTCTTGAGTTTTATTGGAATCGTTCATTTGTCTAAACTGGTTTGCTATTCCACTTAAGCATCTTTTTGTTATGGTTTTATTGTAATCACCAGTATTAAATGAGTTGGCAGCACCTCCTGACATTGTCATCACTACGACATGTGTAGTGCCTGCTCAGGCTTTCTAGGTCTAGTGGCTAAGGTACTCGGCTGCTGACCCGCAGGGCGCGGGTTCAAATCCCGGCTGCGGCGGCTGCATTTCCGATGGAGGCGGAAATGTTGTAGGCCCGTGTGCTCAGATTTGGGTGCACGTTAAAGAACCCCAGGTGGTCTAAATTTCCGGAGCCCTCCACTACGGCATCTCTCATAATCATATAGTGGTTTTGGGACGTTAAACCCCACATATCAATCAATCAATGCTCAGGCTTTCTATGAAGGCTTCGCGCATTGCTGACTGGTGGCACATGATGAGCACTAGTTTGTTACATAAAATGCTCTTGCTAACCATTTTTGATTGCCCATCGTTTCATCTGCACATCTAAGTCATATTTTTCTTGGCAGGCTTCCCACCACCTGGCGGTAAGCCACCACCCCTGCAACCAGCTGCTACAAAACCGGGCCACACAAGCCTGGCACTTAGCGCAACCCGCACCTCAAGTTTTGCAGCTGCATTACGCAAGTTGGCAAAACAAGCAGTTGATCCTGTGCTTGGTGAGCAAGTTTTTCAAGTTACATGTCATTCCATGAGTTGGTTTTGGATGTTATTTTGCAGTGTCTGAAAGCAAGACTTTAAAAAAAAATAATTTGAGAAATTTTTTTTTGTTGTTGTGGGTAAAATGATTGGAATTCACATTGTTGTCATTTCATTAGTTTTACTGTTACTATATTTAAGTAGTAAGTGTAAGATTTTTTGGCTCACATTTTTTTCTTATCTTTTTTTTTTTTTCGAGGTAATTTAGAGCAATTCACTGAATATGAATCTAGCCAATTTGAAATTGTGCTAGTGCATTTAATGCTTCTCTCTTTAATATTGATATCTTTCTTTGGCTACACTACTACTTAACTGTTACACACAGATAAGTAGTGACTTCTCTTGCTGTTTTGGGACATTAAACCCCACATATCATTGTTATCTTGCTGGAGGAAGAGGCTAGTGCACGACTGCCTGAGATTGTACAGCTGAACAAGGTGAATGTCCTAGTTCTTCGGTCCTTGTCATGCTTAACGATTGACTCATGCTGGTGCCTTCATCATAAGTAATGCCACTCTTGGAAAAGCAGGTGCCAACATTTAATATGATAGAAGGCAGTGGTAGGAAAGAAAAAGTGTTGCGGGTAGCATTCATTGCTGAATGTCAGACATTTCTGTGAAATGTGCATGCTTTTGCATGAGAGCCTTGTTGGTCTGAAACTGTAGGTGTTGTGGTTACTGGTGGATATGTGTTGGTCTGAAACTGTAGGTGTTGTGGTTACTGGTGGATATATGTTGTGCTTATCTGTCCCCTGGGCTGAATGTTTCTAAGTTCAAAAATGGGTGCAGTGATGTCTTGTTTGACATGGGAACATGATTGGGGTTAGCTCCATACTACACTTGTCTTGCAGTGCAGCTGTGTGCATAGTGTAAACAGCACTGACTGCATGCTGCAGAAGACCCAATTGCTGCGTATAAACTTCATTTTGACACCACCTTCACCCCAGTAATGTGGTATAATTTCCATGCTTAAGTGGTGTGCTATGTCTACTTGTTAGTGCCTCATATCAATATAATTGTCAGCCAGTTTTATGTCCACTGCAGGATGAAGGCCTCTCCTGGTGATTTACAATTTACTTGTCCTTTTCGAGCCAATTAATTTTTAGCCTAGGTATTTCTTCATTTCACCACTGAATCTAAGTCATTGTCATCCTTGCTTTCGTTTTCACTCCCTTGGTACCTATTACACCTCACAACTTTTTGTGGCAGCACAGCCATAGTGGGAGGAGTATCTGCTCATGCGTTACTAAAAGGATAAGCGCTAGAAATTGGTGGGCTTGAAAAAGAAGAGCAGACAAAGGACTGGCACTACTATAAACTCTTTACACCTTCCTAGTTTAAGTAAATTTTTCATAGTATTGTGCTTACACAACATTGCTTTGGAAACATAAAGCAAAAAGAAATTCAATAGAATAAATGTTTATGCAATTACCCCTGTGGTATAACAAGGTGCAAGTGATAGCTGCACATGTCAAAATGCGCCCTGCTGAAATTCAAGTTCGCTGCATGCAAGGATGTCAATGCCACACTTCTGTATATACCATCGCTATTTTTGCTAAGCAATGATTCTAAAACAATCTAAGACGAACCTCTCTTGCTTTTGCCTAGTATACTAGTGCTACGTAAAATCTGCTCACATTCACATGCAAAGATGTGCACAACCAAAAGCAGATATTTGTCCTCTTTCTTTATTGCACTTAGTGCAAAAAAAATTTTGCTCAGTGTATTGTGGAAAATGTTTATTTTTTCTAGAAAAGGATTCTGGGCCGGTGGTCTCCATTACAGGAGGAAACCCTAGATCACTAACCCCAAAACGAAGCTCTTCCTATGGTTTGCCATCTCCTATGGCATGTGGCTCTCCCCCAGTCATGTCTGGTGCTCCTTCTGGTCTTCTTATGGAAACGAGAAAAGTGAGTTAACTCAAACCCCTTCTTTTAATGTGCACTCCCCACCCCCCCCACCCCCTATAAATTTCCAGTGCCATTCTACATTTTCGAGCAACTTCGTGCATGATGTTACATAAAATTATTCATCCCGTCTAAGTATTTAAGTGTTCCAATGTACTTCTGCGTTAACAACTACAAGGCCATATATCAAGTGTTGCCTTGCAGAGAAGAGACAGAGAGAGAGAGAAAAAATGACTGCAGTTCAGGGCATCACTTGACCATGTTAGCTTGCATGCAAAGTTTGGCAGACCTTCGCCTCATGCAGGTACTTTCACCACCTATTGCCCTTAATTTTGGGACATGTTAGCTGTGAAAGCTGATGGCAGGTCATGTTGGGCATGCATGCTGTACGCTGATCTTGGTGTGGCTTCTTAGAGATGATGGCTTTTATACTAAAGTGTCGCACACTGCGTGTGCCCAGGCACTGGACCTGGGCAGCCTCAGCTCACAGCACGGCCATCGCCTGGACCATACGACCAAGATGGACTCCTCTTTGTCCTCCTTAGACTACCTCTCTAGCAAGCACTTGACTGGACCTCCGTGAGCTCTTGTTTCCCTTTCTTCCTTTGTGGCAAGGGCTTTCAATGTGCTACCTTGCATCTTGGCACTTTGGGTTCTTGCATGGGCACAGGTGTGTCTCTGTGTGGGCTCCTGCTGTTTATTTAGATTTTGTTTACGACAGGTGCATGCAATATAGGTCTGCACAGAGGTGTTCTTGAGATAGGTCGTTCATTTTTCATGTGATCTCAGCAACGTGATTTTGTGAAAACATTTGTATTTCACCCTACCCAATTTTCAATAGTCATTGCATTTCTTGGCATTTTCAATTCATTGCATTTTCTTCAGGCTGTAAGATTCCTAGCTTGGAATATCATCTTAGTAAAAGAGCAACAATTATCATTCCCTTCAATAGTGTTGAGGGAGAGAGTCCTTGTGATGCAGCTTGGCGGGGGTGGGGGTGGGGGTTAAAGTGCTGTGCAGGACACACTGAAGAAATACAATGAATTGTATTTACAAGCGGCTCCTCACTCTGCTGCTTCAGCTGGAGGTTAGATGCCAGGGCGCTGCTCTATTGTACCTGTACAGAGTCTCACTTAAACTCCCCACGTGATTACAGTGCAGAGTGCTTAATTTAAAGGCAGTAAAAAAAAAAATGAAGGAAAGGAAAGAGTACAGTGCTGCACGAATGGAGTTGACATCTCTCTCTGCTAGCGTTTGTTCTCTGGCCCTTCATTCTTTCAGCTCAGTGGTGTCAATGCTTATGCGCATTGACTCTCTCTCATTGTTGCACCCCTGTAGTCACCAGTGCTGCAGCCATTGGAATGTAATTTGGGGTTTGGGGATGGGGCATTTGTTGCTCCCAGTCTGCAGAAATTGGAGCCACAGGACTAAAAATAAAAGGATGGCTGGCCAAAGAAGGACAAAAGTGGCTAATATGTTAACCACTGTGTATTTGCTGTATGTATGACACAAAGGAGCTTGGCAGCCAGGCAATACAAACTAGTCATACTAAGGCAAATTAGTTGGGTAAAGCTGTGGTGCTACCTGTGCCCTGGTTAGCAAGTTTTTTGCCACACCGGCCTGTTGTCCGGACAGTAAGAGCAGATTCTTCACCTGAAAAGACACTGTGGTATGTTGCTTCTATCGTTTCTCAGCATAAAAAATGAGGCCACAGTTGATAATTGCAGCTTATCTTACAGCGTTACCCTTGTAGCGACCTTGGTCCACCTAGATTGACAGTGCTGCAAAGTAAATAGGGCTGTAAGGCATAAATTTTGCTAGTTTCCGGGATATTGGTTGTGAGTCCTCCTTATGAACTGTTGTGGGTCTGATAAGGAGAATTTTCATTATTTGCTGTCCAAGAAAATGGGTGGTACGATTGATAAAAAATATTCTTTAGGACTTATGCAGTGAATTTTTTTTTATGCTTGTAGACAAGTTATTTTATTTTTCAAAATGCATTACTCTGTTTTCTTGCCAGAAATAAAAATAGTTAGATGTACTTTGAAGGGTAACTTCAAAGTAATTAGTTCACATTTGCTACAGTTTCTAAGGGAAAAAAGTTTCACATATGCAAGTGCAAGTGGGATTAAAAATAAATCCTTGACGTTGATGCATAAAACGTTACCATTTAACTGAAACTATATAAATAAAATTACACTATTTCCTGCTGAAAGGAACCATGTCTAGATGTGAAGCAGCAGAAAGATGGCCCGCTTGAGCGGGACACGGTGTACACTATTGAGAGCTTGTGCTGGCGCTAACACTGGCCCTGGTGGCGGGGTTGACGCTGGCGCTCATCGCAGCATCGTGCAGGAGAGAAACCTGGGGAGGCACAAAGCATGTAAAGATAGATCGGTGTTTCCTACTGGAACATGGCAATTGCTACTAATGGGCAATGACAGGCAGAAGTCTCCGATTGAACACAGAGATCCGCAGTCTAAATTTGGTAAAGGCGTACAGTGCAAATTTTTATTGTTCAACAACGCACTGGAGAAATCCTTCACCGGCACTACCTTGGAGGTCAATATCCAGTGCCTATATATACAGGGTGGCCAGGGAACAGTTGTGCAGCAGAAGCAGTTGGTTTTTTTTCAATCAAGAAACTAGCTAGCAGACGCTGCCTGCGTCGGCACTACGAGGCAAGAGAGGGGGAAGTGTAGAAGAGAAGAATGGAGGGGAGGGGACGCGCTAGCACTAAGGGACAAAGGACACAGCCTCCTGTATAAAATGCTTCACATCTAAAAATTGTTTCATTGGTCATGTTTTCTTTATAATCGTAGCAGTGACAATGATTTAAAATAACAACTGGAAAAGAGCAAGTTTTACAGAAATAGCTGCATAGCAGTGCATTTCATTTAACCCTACAATATATTTCTCACAGTGAAAGATTAGTTGACAAAGTACAGCTGCATGCATGAAAATTTGATGCAAATGGAAATGGTAGAAGTAACTAATAGTAATTTTCAGAAGTTCAGGGGATGGTGGAAACTTGAAGAGATAAAAAAATTTCTGAAAATGTGTCACAGGAGCCAACATTTCGACAAGTGAACTTGCCTTCTAAAAAGACTGCAACTGCTTTTGCAGTTTTGAAAGTAGTTTCAGCCTTGAGACAAGTTCTCTAGTCCAAATGTCAGCTCCAGCGATTTCCCATGCGTAAGAATATTTTATTTCGGATCATAATTGTTACACCTCATTCAGCTATGATTGAATCATGCGGCTATGTTCGAAATGATCGAACGGTAGTTTTGAACTGCCATTGAGTGGTTCAGGCGTTTCTCGCAAAATTGTATGACCCTGTCGATCTTTATTTTCGTATTCGTGTCACCTATAGTTAAGTAATATAAGTTCACTTAAAAACTCAAATATGTCTGTTGATCTTTTTAAATATTTAAATAAATGTTTCATTCATATTTATGAATGCTTACTTAGCTTTTAAGTTGTGGAGCAGCGAAACTGTGGCGAGCAATGCACTGTGAGACGGCACAATGAATACAAGCACGTTGCCGTTGTCAACAGTACTTGCAATGTGCACATTTTAAGTGGCAAAAATACTCTCCTAAATATTTCACAACACTCAAATATACTGCTTTTAAAGCATACTGGTTAGATTTCTTTTTTCTAATTGTATGTACGAGCACACTGTGAACTAAAGGGCATGCTGACGCTGTTTTTGCTTCATCGCTCAATGGCGATCGAAGTTTCAATGAAGTTGTGGGGTCCTCCGTTTGCTCGATAGACTATTAGTTGGATGGCCTTCCAAACGTCCGTGTGACACAGATTTTTACCATGCTTTTATCATGCGTTCAATACAGGTTTTTCAGTTTAAATTAGAGGTGCCTTGTAGAACTGAGCATATTAAACCATTAGTAACGCTACATATTCCGTGCTGGTTGGTGGCAGAGCCAGTAATAGACGCAACATTACATGTTTGAGTGTGAATGTCCATCTTTTGCCATATGACACCATTCAGTTAGTGCTGATAAATTGGACTGCACGGCAGCGACATCAGCAAGGCAGCTTAATAAAGATGATAGTCTTTCTTGGGGACCTTCGACGCAAAAGTTTTGGTCTGTCCGCCCGTCCGCCCGCCCGTCCGCCCGCCCGCCCGCCCGTCCGCCCGTCCGTCCGTCTGTCTGTCCATTTGTCTGCCTGTCTGTCTGTCTGTCTGTCCATTTGTCTGTCTGCCTACCCTTAACGGTACCGGGCTTTTTACGCCAAACCGCCGACCCCATCCGCAGCGCCCACCAATGTTGCTCAAGATTCAGCGTTCATACTTGTGTGATTGTCAATAAAAAAACAATTATCATGCTTATCTGAGGCACCATAACAACACCTATATATTCTGTATGTGCGTATTTTACTAGAAAAGGCATATAAAAGTTATTCTAAGGACCATAGCGTTTATCATGCGGCGCTGACCATGTATCATTGTACACTGATATGGTCATCATAGAACGAATAAAATCGTGAAAAATCTGTGGTTATAAATTATGTAAATTATAAATAGCAATTGGCTACACTCTTGACAAACTCCTGAATTGATGGAAGTGGTCAGAAAAAGGGTTATTCAAACTTATTGTTTGAAATATGTTTCTTTAAAACATCCCTGAATTTATGTGGCAGTGCTGTAATCAAGCTGGAGGCTAGTAAATTATGTAGGGATGATGTTGAATAGTGCACACATGGGTGTCGCTCGGCGTTTGTAAAATGTGTTCTTGTGTCCCTGAACATGTCAGTTGACGTATGAGCTTATGGTGCTTAGAAAGGAAATGAGTACAAATGGATAGATCTGTTTTCAAGAATGATTGGTACCATTTAGGAGCACACATTATTTTTGTCAACAATCTCAGGAGTGGTGCCAGTGGCGCTGGACACAAGGGTGCTCCAGGAAATGGTGAAGAATGCCCCCGGGGCTTCCAGCCGTACCGGGGTTCGGCCGAGGAGCTACGGCATCCCACACTGGGTACACTGCATCCCATGTCACCCTTTGATGCTGGCGCCTACCCGTACCACCCAACACCATTCCTTGCACCCCACCTTGCACATCCTGGTTACAGGTGAGCTACAGTGCGAGCAAAAAAGAAAGAAAACACCAATTTCTGCTGTACCAACTTTTCATTGTAACTGTGAAATCATATTGTCATTTTTGAACAGGTTGGAAGACCCTTTGTATCAGTACAATTTGTTGCGACCGGGACCACCCATGGTATCAGCCCCGGCCATGCCGCCCTTTTTTCGGTATCCTGTGCAACAGCAAGCTCCTCCACAACAGCCCCCAGCCCAGCAACAACAGCGACAACAGTTGACGCCACCATCTCTACCAGTGGGGCCTCCACGAACAGATGAGTTCAAGGAGGAACAGTCACGGCTTTTGCTTCTTTCATCGGCTAAGAGGACTTCTGACTCCCCATCACCATCCCTCAGTTAGTACTACTTCTTCTGCTATGTACTACATCTGATTCTTGCTTGCATGGTACGATCAGAATGAAGTGGTCACAGTTGACGTTAATTTGGAAAGATGCAAACTTTTGATATAGTCTTGTAAGAGGCTGTGGTTGTGTGGCTGCCCATGTATACCTGACAACATTGGTAACCAAACAATGTGTATAATATAATGTGCACGATAGCCTGTCTTCTTCATCTGATGAGTGTTTTTCCTCAGGCGTGAGTTGTATGAGCTAACTTATGGCTTCAGATGAAGCCCTCATTTAGCCGCATATTCTGAATGCAGTTCACCAAAGTGTTGTGCCAGTGCTGCACCAGTTCCTCTAGTGTTAGTGCGGCATGACACTGGCGGTTTTGGTGCAGCGGTCAAATCAAGAGCAAAAGTGTAGCTACGTCGTATATATTGTGCGACTTGCACAAGACCAGAACTCGTGGGGAAGCTAGTGCTGAATTGCCGATGAACTTGTGCAGTAAGATGTCAAGTTCAGTTCCGAAGTGCAGGTGGCGAGACTTGCACTGCCAAATGAAGGGCCAAAGTGTAGTACTTTTGAACTAGTGCAGAAAGTGCAGCCAAATCGAGGAGACCTATAGTTCCCTTGGGGACTGCTATGTGGGGTTTCTCACTTCCTAGTACATAATTTCTGTAAACTTTCACACCATAGGCCGGTCCTCATAAGTGTCACGTATTCAGGTGGTTACGGGTGGTGGATTCAGATAAGACTCTGCTAATGGCACAACTCGTATAATAAACACACACATGGTCCTCGAAAAATATTTCTAAAAAATACAAAAATTGAATCGCTACAAGTGAACTCGGACAAGCCACAAATTATACAACTGCAAACTAAACTGTCCATATCCTAGAATAATTCAGCTATTCTAAACTTTTAATAGCTGATGCATTCGGCCACTCTTACTTTTATGCTACAAATATTTGTAGCCAAAATTTGTGATCTGTTGCATTGTGTTCGTTAATGATCTTGATGCGCTTGACGAACGTTGCCTTTTTCATCCCTGCCTAATAATCGCCCATCGACATCATCTTGCTACGTCATCACTGACATGTAGGCTTGTGTGAATATTCGAATGAGTAATGCGATATTCAAGTTTGCTTTGAATAGAATTATTTGAATTTGAATAGAATTATTGAAAATTTCTAATTATTTAAGACGAAAGAATAAATACATATTAGCCTGCATGTACATCCTGTACAGGTGGTTTCATGGCGTGTAAAAGTGCTAAGCCGTGAGAGCACCTGTTCAGGTGTATAGTAGTTTGCTTGTAATTATTTGTAAAAGTGGTTTCACTGTAGTGAAGTGGTGCTGAGCTGTAAAAACACCTGTCTGTAAACACCTGTGCTGAGCTGTAAAAACACCTGTAAAAACACCAAGAGAAATCCACGCTGCTGTGAAGCACTTTTCAAGGTTAAATGAACTTGTTATCTAATTGATTCGTCATTTTTTAAGTTTAAAAGCTTGTCATACCAACGTGTATGCTATAAGTATAGCAAATTTTAAAACTTGACACATTTTACAGGCTATCACTTGCATTCTATCAAAAGCCATATCCTGCTACTATTCCAAGTTGCTTCCACATTCTGTGATGTAAAAAAAAAAATAGCATTTGCACTGGCCTTGTTTCACCTTCAAAAAAATAATAATGTGCAGGTTACTTTGGTCATGGCAAAGATGCCCCATTTTATTTACAGTATGTTATATATATACTACTGAAATCCGATTCGATATTATTTGACAAAAACCACTATTCACTTTGAACTGAAAATTCACTATTTGCACAAGCCTACTGACGTCGTATAGGCCTCAGGCATTAGGCATAATGGCAGTCGGTGTTGCCCAGTGCTCAAAGCCAATGTGGCCCACCTGGAACTGCTTTTAGCAGCTTGATTCGAAGCCGGCTTGCACCAGAAGCGCCAGTGCTTGCTATGCTTGGTTGTTGCATCGCCAAAAAGCCTCACTAAAACAGGATCAAGGTCTTCGACCACCTTTGAATCCCAGCTTCACAGGCTGCCAAATGCCGTTGCCAATGTGTTTGCGTTTGATGCAACCTTCTCATGCTTAGCTCATGTAGATAATGCTAGCCTGTCATTGTTTATGTCTTAATCACAGCTCGGGTCATGCATGTAGGGCTTCTTATACATATGCACAGTGAACTGCCTAGCTCATCAACCACATGCAGTCGATTGGCTCTGTGAAGGCCTTGGTCTACAAATAGTGATCATTTAACTTAGTGCGTGCTAACATTCCTCCCAAGTGCAGCTTCTTTCGTTGGGACCTTTAGCATTTTCTGGGTTGTGTCGTAGTGCCGGGACACCCAAGCCAGGATAATGTAACACTTCTATTTTGATATGTCAGAGTTGCATATGAACATGATTAACAATAAACAGTTGCATTATTTTTATGTTGCATTCAATTTTTTTTCAGGAATTTAGAGATGTGTGGATCCTAAATGCAACGAGTAAAAATAGTATGGAAAGTACTGTATTTTTCTAGAGGCTGTGTGGAAGTGATATAGCAAACAGGAAAACAATATCGAAAAAGTTTGCTGGGTGCTGTTGTGATAATGGATGTTTCATTTATACATGAGCAGTAGCCAGGGCTGCTTGCTGAAAACCAGAAGTGATTTTTTGTCTAGGTAACTGATTGCTTACACCTTGCTCTTCTTTTGTACAATATACAGGGAGTTTCAAGAAAGGTGCTTGAAAATTCTCAAACATAGGTGAAATACAACATTTCCTTGCTGCATTCATAAATACTTCTTCCGTAGCTGCATGCATCTTACTGACTAGATACACAAAGTACAGTAGTAATTAAAAAATAAATTAAAATATCTTCAATTAATGGAGACAGCCAGTTCGGCCAAATGGGAGAAGTCTTTTCTGTGAAAAGTCAGTGCCACTTTGAGATTTCGAAAAAAGTGACCTCTGGTAATTATTGTTGAGCAATGAATTTGACCATATTTGCTGGCGAGACCGAAGTGAAGCAGCGAAAGCAGCGATGAGCACTTTTTGTCATGTTGGTTTGGCAGAAAGAGATCTTTTTGCATAATTTTTTACTGCCAACAATTAGGATGTTCAAAATTTTTATTGTAGTGGAGTTTGGTGTTCCAGGTTTTAATTTATTTCTTTTTTGTTGGCATTTTTTTTTGTGCCGTGTACGCATTGACATGAAAAAAGTGTTGAGTGTCTGCCCCACCTTTGTTGTAGGCTCATCTCATTCTGGAGGAGCCCGTGAACCGTTGCGGAGCCCCCCATCTCTGATGACTCCCCTGAATCTGGCCACAAGCCATTCAGGGCCTCTTCCCCAACCCCAAGGACTACTCGTCTCTCAGCAGTCTTCTTCGGAGCATCTCAGCCATACGGCTAGTGCAGAGCCCTGGCGGCCACTGGCCAGCGATGTGCCACCTCTCCACCACTTACACGTATATCCTGATTTTTGTACTTTTTTTTCACTTTATATTGTAGCAACGTCAGTACTGTATGCATTATTTTAATGATAGCCTGCGCAACCCAATTTGTTTCACTTGATGCCACATACACTTAGTGAACAGTTCATTATTTAAATAAAAGTAAAAGATTATGAGATGGCCTATTATTATTGCTATTAATAATAATATTATTATTATTATTGTTATTGTTGCTGTTGTTACTATTATTATTCCCACCAGGCCATGCATTGCTAAAGGTAAAAGTTGATTTGATTTGATTGATTGATATGTGGGCTTTAATGTCCCAAAACCACCATATGATTATGAGAGACGCCGTAGTGGAGGGCTCCGGAAATTTGGACCACCTGGGGTTCTTTAACGTGCACCCAAATCTGAGTACACGGGCTAAAGTTAAAAGTTATCTAATTATATTTTAAATGCGAAGCATTTCTTAGTGAACTTCGGCGACTTTGAGCTTGTCTGTCTGTCTGTCTGTCTGTCTGTCTGTCTGTCTATCTATCTATTTATCTTATCTAATCTAATCTTATCTATCTATCTATCTATCTTATCTATCTTATCTATCTATCTAATCTATCTAATCTATCTAATCTATCAATCTATCTAATCTATCAACCTATCTAATCTATCTAATCTATCTAGTCTATCTAATCTATCTAATCTATCAATCTATCTAATCTATATAATCTATCTAATCTATCAATCTATCTAATCTATCAATCTATCTAATCTATCAATCTATCTAATCTATCTATCTAATCTATCTATCATGCTCTCATGCTCTCATGGTCAGCCCCTTAATTTAGCATGAACCAAAATTAGCATGGGAGGATAAAAGATGGTTTGACAAATATGACACGCTGATCAAGACATGAATGTCACCATCCGGTCGCGTCAAACTTTTCCCATTAGATAGTGGCACGTACTCACGGGCGGGTATGTGCCGCCGGTAAGCGGGTATTTACCACAGGAGATTGACACTTAGTATCTACCCAGGAACGACAAGAACACACATGGGCAATTTTAACGCATGAGCGTTAAGCAATACCCGACATCGGTAGCATCGACACAACAAAGGCATAGAATAAACATCAGTGTTAAGAAGAACCTGACATAGGCAGCGTTGGCCACCCAACGAATGCAAATAATAAATTTCAGGGTCTCAGCAGGAATCGAACCCAAACATTCTGCGTGGCAGTGAAGCATTCTACCACAAAGCTACGCCAGGTCTCAGTACTACTTTTCAAATAGGCGCTGATCTTCGTGAAACGTCAATAGTGGTTGCAGTGCTGCCTGCCCAATTTTATAAATGTTACATGTGTACTCCTTTCATACAGCCGTCAAGTCGAGTTAACATCAATTGTGGTGAGGTGCCATGTGCTGAAATTGATTTAAGTAGCAGTGTGAAGGGCCAGCATCTTCGCGAGCATCAGCGCTTCATATCAGCTTCTGGTGTTGCTAAAACACTTTTCCAGGTGACCTTGTTGTCCAAGTGGAAAACTGGTTATATAAACATCTGCAACTCTTTAACGTATGTGTCGGTGTGCAACATTTGTACATATATTTAGTGTCATTTCATGAGGTGTCGTTAAAAAAAAATGCGACACGGTCACCTTCCCTACGCGTGCTTCGCATAAAGTTGATTCCCAGGTACGTGGGATCTGCCAAATTTTTTTTAGATTGATCTTTGGGGCAATCACGCATATGTTTGCAAGCTTAGTGATAGGACTCACAACAACAGCAACCATAATAATAGTACACACTCCTTTAGTTTTTTTACTCAATATTTGTATTGTGTGTTTGTATTGTGTGTTTACATCATGTGTTTTTAAAGTGTACTGTTACGTATGAGTATGCACAAGCTGTTACTCCTTCCCATATAATTTTGCATGACACATATGAAAAATAATCTGTTACAAGTAAGTGTTTCATCTGTCATTGTGGGTTGTCCTGCGCTAGATGCAGAGATAGAATGCCAATATGCCCAAACTTCCGTTAGATCACCTTGCTTGTTATTGCTACTGCAGCAATTCAGCACCTTGTTGGCACATCATGTGAACCTCTTACACATTAGCATTTCAACATCAATTTGAATACATCCTATAGAGGTATTGTAAAAATTTGTTATTTGTGTGCTAGCACTTCTAGCTACTTGTTGTATTGATAGCTAAACATGTCATTAGTTGTACATGAAATAGTTTTGTTTGTGTCAAATAAGTGCATTAAATTTCTGCTTGGCCTATTGTGACATGCTGCTTACTGTACGGCTTGGTTTCGCAACTCACAGGTAACAAAAGAAAACTTTAAACCACTGCCAGCGTCTTTCACATCTGCCATGGCCCCTGCTGCTGTACGGCAGCCAGCAGCAGGCTCATTGAGGCCGAGTCTTCCACTAGCGCAGTCTCCGCCACCGTCTTCCACATCGAGCCCTGTTCCAGTTCGGCATTCACCAGTGTGGCTTGATGCCTCAACATCAGAGCAGCGGCAAACAGAGCAGCACTACCCACAAGTGCGGAGCCTACTAGACTTGGCTGAGCAGCGCAGAAAGGAAGCACGGGCAAGAGGAATGGCTGAAAGTGACTCTGAAGAAGGTATGTGGTGGCTTTCAGGGAATGACGTTTTAGTCTGGCTAAGGTGGCCAGGTGGGGGCCACCTTAAGTAAGCTATGGTGGCCAGCTGGCTTATAGAGTGGATGCATACCAAAAAGTGATTGCAAAAGAGCATGTAGAAGAATATGACTCATTATCTCATTACTGCGGCATTTCTTCAAGTATATGCACCTTGTGAGTTAATAATGATCAGAGTGGGAAATAGTGCATGGGGTATAATCAAAGCAGATGCAATTGAATGTTCACACATTGACTTGTTATATTTACAGTTAAACCTGCCTATATTCAACCTCTAAATAACGAATTCCTCGATAATACAAAGCTTTTCTATTTCCCATAGTTACCATATTTACTCGCATAATGAACCCACTCGCATAATGAACCCAGCCCCCACCTTGACCTCGAAAAAAAAAGAGAAAAAACTTTTCCGTAATGTATATATTTTATTTCGGTATGATAGCCAGTGTTGTTGACCATCGAAACAAGGTTGAATCAAGTCATTATATTGCTACATGCATGTATATTGATATTATAGGGGGCGACGCGCGTGTGTGCCTGATGAGGAAGACAAAGAGTTGTCTCCGCTCGATCGCTGGTGAACCGGGCACGCCATTACCGCTGGTTTTGAATATATCTAATCCCCAGCCTCGTCGTTACGGCGTCTCTTCTTTTCCGGAACATATTTGGTGGAGGTGGAACGTTCCTCGTCTTCACCACGAAGCTTCGCAGTGGCCGCACCATTCAGTCTCCGGCCATGGCTACCATTGACAATGGCCTGTCAGCGTCCCCATCTGTAGCTCCAGCCACTACATACCTGACGATGCCCCCCCCCGTGATCCCGGTACATTCTCCGCACAACCTGAGCTCGACGTCGACTACTGGCTCGGTATGTACGAGCGTGTTAGCCACACACACCGATGGGACCCTACCATGATGCTCGCCAACGTAATATTTTACTTGGACGGCACCCTACGGGTCTGGTTTGACGCCCATGAGACCGAGCTCACTAGCTGGGATACCTTCAAGGAGTGACTACCTTCAAGGAGCGATCTTTGGGGACCCGTCCGGTCGCCAAATGGAAGCGCGAAAAGAACTCTCCACTCGTGTGCAGTCGTCAACAGAGTCGTATGTCTCGTACATACAGGATGTGCTCGCGTTGTGCCGAAAAGTCGACGAGCAAATGACAGAGAGTGACAAGGTGGGCCACATACTTAAGGGCATCGCGGACGACACCTTCAATTTGCTCGTCTACACTAACGTCACGACCGTAGATATGACTATCAAGGAATGCCGCCGCTTCGAAATGGCCAAAAGCCGCCGTATTCTGCCTCAATTTACGCGGCTACCAAACACGGCTGTTACATCCACTTGCACCGATCTCGGTGCCGCACCACCCTTGCAGGACAGCGTGACACGAATAGTTCGACGGGAGCTTTAGGCGTCAAGTCCGGCACCATTTGCTCCACATCCGCTCGACCATGGCGCCGCACAAACGCCTCCGCCGGTCTCCGTTATTCAAGCCGTTGTGAGGCAGGAAATTGCAAAGCTTGGTTTTGCTGTGGCCTGCTCTGTCTCCGAACCCATGACAGACCAATGACAACAAATGCACCATGCCATGACTTACACTTTATTCCGCGATCCCGCAATCCGGCGGAATGGAGAACTGCAGACGACAAGCCGATCTGCTTCCGCTGCCACCGAGTGGGCCATATCTCCCGCTACTGCCGCAGCACTTGAACGCCCTCAAACTGGAGCCAATATTCCTCTAATCGACCATACGAGGACTCCCGTCGGTATTCGCCCAGTCGTGTGTACCCTTCTACCGACATCACCAACAGCCGCTCCACTGCTCGTTTGCCGCCACCTCAACGCCGCCGTTCCCCATCGCCCCAACCACGCCGCTATCTATCGCCGGTCAACTATGGATTCTCTCGGACGGAAAACTAGATCATGCAGCTCCGGGAGGTAGTGCTGCATCGCTTGCGAATGATCCAAATCCTCCATTGACGCTCCCCACTGATACGAACTTGACTGAGGTGTATGTGGACGGTATTTCTTTGACGGCGTTAGTCGATACCGGAGCTCAAGTGTCCATAATGAGGGCTAATCTGTGTTGCCTACTCAAAAAAGTCCTCACGCCTGCAGCAACTAAAGCCCTCCGTGTCGCTGATGGTGGAACTGTGGCCATCACTGGAATGTGTACCACTCGTGTTAGTATTGCCGGCCGCCATGTTCCCGTTTTATTTACGGTGCTTGAAAATTGCCCCCCACGACCTAATCTTCGGCATGGACTTCCTATCGACGCATTCTGCCCTCATCGATTGTGCCGCCAGTACTCTCTGCCTAGAACTTCCTCTTCTCCCGGATTCTCACCCTGAACTCCCGAACAACTTGTGCGCCACTGACTTCTTCCGGATACCGCCTAAAGCTCTCACATTCATCGAATTGGCAACACCCTCTCCCGTGCTCGACGGTGATTACAGCGTGACGCAGATTACTGATGTTCTCCTGGCGCGTGACATTACTGTCCCACACTCTGTCGTAAGCATGGCCTCTAACCGAACATATTTACCTGTTATCAATTTCGGTTTCATATAACAAGTGCTACCTCGAGGAATTTCGGTCGTCACACTAAGGCCCTTAATTGACGACCACGTCACCTGTTTTACAGCAGACGTATGTCCCGAGCACCCACATCACTCTCAGGATGCCACGTGCCTCGATGCAACCTTACGCTCCATGATCGCCCCGGACCTCAAACCTGAGAAGTCAACCGCGCTGTACCGTCTTCTGGCTTCATACCACGACATATTCGACATCGACCACCGTCCACTCGACCAGACTTCACTCGTCAAGCACCGCATTAGCAGAGGTGATTCTCATCCCATTCATCGGCGACCATACCGGGTGTCTGCCACCGAGCGTAAAATAATTCAACAAGAAGTCACCAAGATGTTAGCCAAAGGAATTATTGAACCCTCTTCGAGCCCTTGGGCGTCTGCCGTTGTGCTCGTTAAAAAGAAAGATGGCACGTGGCGCTTGTGTGTGGATTACCGTCATCTGAATAGAATCACGAAAAAGGACGTTTACCCTTTACCCCGCATCGATGACGCTCTCGATTGTCTCCACGGCGCCCGATACTTTTCCACAATATACCTACGTTCCGGCTACTGGCAGATTGCTGTTGACGAAAAAGACCAAGAGAAGACTGCATTTGTAACTTCAGAGGGCCTATATCAGTTCAAGGTTATGCCATTTGGGCTATGCAACGCCCCAGCCACGTTCGAGCGCATGATAGACTCTCTGCTACAAGGGTTCAAATGGTCAACATGTCTTTGTTATCTTGACGACGTCGTTGTATATTCCCCAACATTTGAGACCCACCTTCAGCGTTTGTCAGCTGTTCTCGACATATTCCGCACTGCAGGCCTCCAATTGAACTCGTCGAAGTGCCGCTTCGGACGCCGGCAAATTACAGTGTTGGGCCACCTTGTCGACGCCTCTGGTGTGCAGCCGGACCCCAAGAAAATTCGTGCAGTCACCAGTTTTCCTGTACCCCAGTCAGCCAAAGATGTCCGGAGTTTTGTAGGACTTTGCTCCTATTTTAGAAGGTTTCTGAAAGATTTCGCAACCATCGCTCGACCCCTCACAGAGCTTCTAAAGAAAGACGTCACATTTACGTGGGGTACCGACCAAGCTGCTGCTTTTTCTCACCTAATCACGCTATTGACGACTCCACCCATATTGGCTCATTTTGACCCATTGCTTCGACGGAAGTTCAAACCGATGCTAGTGGTCACGGAATCGGAGCCGTGTTAGCCCAGCACCAACGGGGACACGACCGAGTTGTCGCCTACGCTAGCTGCCTCCTCACAGCTGCTGAGCGCTGTGAGGTAACTATTCTATTACGGAGCGTGAATGTCTTGCTCTTGTTTGGGCAGTCTCAAAGTTCCGCCCATATTTATATGGCACTAATTTCTCTGTGATAACTGACCATCATGCGCTATGTTGGCTTACGTCACTGAAGGATCCTACTGGCCTGGCCGGCTCGGGCGCTGGGCTCTACGACTCCAAGAGTATACCTTTACGGTGACGTACAAGTCCGGACGCCTACATCATGACGCAGACTGCCTGTCGCGCCACCCTGTCGCTGAGTCGAGCACTATGCATGACACCGACACCGAGCCTTGCGTCTTTTCCCTTTCGCAAATGACATGCATCGGTGACGAGCAGCGCTATGATGCGTCCTTGCGTGCTATCATTGAGCGCCTCGAATCACCATCTTCCAGTCAGTCCGATCGCTCATTCGTGCTCCACGATGGTGTATTATACCGCCAAAGTTTTGAGCCGGATGGACCGGCTCTGCTGCTTGTCATTCCGAAACACCTTCGCTCGGAAGTTCTACATGAACTTCATGACCTTCCGACTGCTGGTCACCTTGGTGTGTCACGCACTTACGACCAAATACGCCGACGCTTCTACTGGCCAGGGCTTGCACGCTCAGTCAGAAGATACGTTGCGGCTTGTGAGAAATGTCAGCGCCGCAAAATGCCATCGGCACTTCCCGCCGGACGCCTTCAACCACTTGATATTCCGTCAGAACCGTTCTTCCGCGTTGGCTTGGACCTACTTGGCCCTTTCCCTTTATCTTCCTCGTGTAACAAGTCGATAGCCGTGGCCACCGACTACGCCACGCGTTATGCCATCACACGAGCTCTCCCAACAAGCTGCACCACAGATGTCACCGCCTTCCTCCCCAAGGACGTGATTTTGCAACACGGAGCCCCACGGCAGCTGCTTACAGACCGTGGCCGCACCTTTTTGTCGAAGGTCATAGCCAACATCTTGCAGTCCTGTAAAACGAGACACAAGCTGACTACGTCATACCACCCGCAAACCAATGGACTCACGGAGCGTCTAAATCGAACTCTTACAGACATGCTCGCTAAGTATGTTTCTGCCAACCACACCGACTGGGATCT